AGGCAGACTCTGGCTGTAGTGTTCAGCACCCCAATCGGTTACAGTAGCTGAAGAATTCTTGATGTGAGAATTTCTTCAAAGCCTCACAAATGACCCTGCAGCAGAGAATCATAGCACATCCCTCTTTGCCTGCATCTTAAATGCTGGCCACTGGGTCTCTATCGTGTTTTGGGAAAAATGCTGGTTAAATAGCTGTATTCAATGACAGCATTTTTATATGCTTTATTTAAAAACAATTATAAAAACAAAAAGGACTTACAAACACCATCTCAGTGCTATTTAAAATCAATGCACCACAAAGCAGAAAATGTATCAAGATTCTTAAGCCATTGTCCTAGTAGGGGATGTAAAATGGTGCTGTTTATTTGTCACATCAGGGTATGTACTGCATAATGTGTGCAGGATTAGCTTTCACGTAGTGGGTACTGTATCTAGTGTAGATCAATTTACATTAATCAGAAGTGCACCCATGAAACAAGTAATTAAACAAGTAGATTAAAACTCTACATCGGTCCAGAAACAGTTAACAGGCTTTTATTTCACCTGCCGATCGATTTCTTAATTCAGCATGCTAGCCAATACTGTGCAAATGTGTGGACTGCTTTCAATTTTCAATTATTTGTTTCCTTTTAACGTTAAAATCCAAGACATACTGTTAATATTAAGTAATTAAAGTGGAAAATAAAGTGGGCAAAAAGTGCTTGAATGATAGTCCCCTCAAAACCTTACATGGATCTCAGCAGGAGAGGTGGGATTACCTAAAGCCTAAGAAAAAAAAGTGGAATGTCGAATAAATCTTTTTTTTTTTAAATCAAGCAACAGAGCATTGTGCAATCATGCACTAGACATCAGATGAAATAAAAGAGTAAATAGTCTATATCGATCCATGCAAACTATTGAACGATATTTTCTTTCATCCTGTATTTATGAAGATTGTACATTTGGGGTGATAAATTGATCAATCCACAATACTGATGCAATAGCGAACAGAGCCCTGAAATAACCCGGGAAAAAGGTCTCACAAAATGCACATTTTATCACGTGCGTTTCAAGATTATGAAGCGCAATAAGCCTTAGAGTTTGCAGAGGACTGTACAGTGTGTATAATACAAATATTCTTAGTTTGCAAAAGACAGTCTCTCCTATTAGGACTGTAAATCCTGTCCCTGCTGCGGATAAACTCACAAAGCTCTCCGTTACCTGCAGCAGGTCTCGCTGGGGTATCCGGAGTTTGCAGGTGACAATCGGGCGCTTCCTCAAGTTCCTGCAGCCACGCAGCGAGAAAGAGCGGGGTACGTTCTCGGCGTCGCGGGGAGCAAGTGGCTCAATCTCCTTAAGAAAAGCGCGGCGTGATGCGGACTCCGCCAGCCTCAACGTGCTCGTCTGTACTTTTCGCTTTTCGTACTTCTGCAGAGTGATGCGGGCAAGCTCCTCCCCTCCCGCCCTGTTGCTGTGCTATGCTGCTGTCTGGTCGCTTGCCCTGCCCCGAACGGAAAACTGCATTAACCCCTCGAGGTTAATTTGAGCCCAGATTTGGCGAAATCCGCACCCTTTTCCCCGAAACCTTCCCATGCGGCCCTGCGCCAGCTGCGGGCTGGTCTCGGCACGCTCCGCCCGACCCACGAATGAATGCAAACTCCCTGCTGTTACACAACAGTAACGGCCCGTGATTTGTGGTCGAGCAAGCCTGTTGTATTGAAACCGCACGCTGCTGACGATTCTGTCCCGTTCCTCCATTGGTGGAAATCAGGGGTACAGGAAAACTGGATCCAATCCCAGCAAGCAATGGGTGCAAGGCAGGGTACACCCTGGACAGGACACCAGTCCATCCCAGGGCACAACCACACACACACCCTG